CTTTGAATAATTCTTGATTTTTTTATTTCGTAGAAAAATGTGATGAAAGTTTATCTTAGTTAAAGTTTAAGAATTTTTTTCTCGAAAACTATAAACTTAAATAAAAATTTCCTAGGAACAAAAATGTCTTAGAATTAATCAAAAAATACTCTTGAATTTTTTCAGAATTTTTTATGACGTTTTTGAAAAATTCGGTTTGTGATTTTTCGAAAAATCAAAAATTATCTCGAAAAATTCTGAAACTAAAAAACTTTAGACAATAAAATAGCTCCATTTTAAGTTTAGACATCGAGGCCACGATCTAGATAGGTTTTAAGCATATAGAAAAATGTAAAAGGAACGAAAAATAATTTTTAAAAAAATTTGATTGAAAAATCACGATTCTTTTTTATTTTTGATTTTTCCATGGTAAAACTTTTTTGTGGAGATTTTTAACTATCATCATCATTGGAAAGAGCACCCTTCAAAACATAGGAGACAGTGGTTTCCGAATTTTTGCTACTTGAATTCATTACATGTCGACAATTTAAACTTAGATGTCGAAATCGTGTCTTTTGGGTTAATAAATGCGGATAAATTTGTTGACTAACTTGGCTGATATTATAACTTTGGTTTTATTAATGTGTAAAAACACTAATCTACATTGTTATTATTGTTTACAATATTGTCTACAATATTTAATTACAATGTTAACTAATATATTAAATAAATAAAAAATATGTATAATATTTTTTATTATAAACTTTGTTTATAATAAAGTTTATAATAATAAAAATATGTATAATATTTTTTCCATGTTTCAGACAATGATTGCTATTTATATGCAAATACTAACATTATGCCTAATAATAATGATTTTGATAAAAATGATATAAAAAATGCAAATAATATCACTGATATAAGTATTTCGCCAACAGTAAACGACATTCTTGATAAGGAAATAATTGATAGTAATTTCATGAATACTAGCGCATTTTTTAACTTATTAAATGCAGGTAATAGTCGTTTTATTTTGTACAAATTGTAATTATAAATGTAATTAAAAATATTTTTGTCTCTGTTGTTACTTTCCTATACGTTACCTATTATTTATTTATCGTTATTATTTAGTAATTTTATAATTATAAGTTATTTGATTATTCATATTACAGATGTATCTTTTAATTCAATGTTGAATAATAATGCTGAAAAACAATTTTCTTCAACTTCCTGTAAATTAGAAGAAATTCAAACAAACGATATAAATAACTTGTGCTTTGCAGCAAAGAATGATGACTGAAGTACAAGATAGTAGAGCCATATTATATGTTATTTTTTAATTTTCATAATTATTTTCTGGTGTACTTATACTTATATATTATTATATTTTGATATTTTTAATTAATGATATTTTTCTTTTTTTTATAAATAGAGAAAGATAATGAAAGTGATTCTGATGTACAAAGTGAATATTCATCAGTTGTAAGTGATTGTGAAGAAATAGAGACATCAGAACATGAAGATGACAAATGTAATAAGCATTCTTCTAATACACAAAATAATGATTCGACTATATCTACAGACGTGGATGTCAGTAATATTAAGGAATGTGAAACTCGGTAAGATGAGCAAACAGTAATATCTACAAAACTTGCTGGCACAAAAAAATATATGTGTGTCTTCTGTTACAAAATGCAAACAAAGATTGTTCGACATTTGGAATCAGCTCATTTTAAAGAACCTGTTCAAAAGTTCAAATATTTACCTAAAGGTTGTAGTGAAAGAAGAAACATCATCGATACATTAAGAAAAAAGAAAATTTTAAATTTAACATTGAAAAATAATACAAAGAGCAAGGTTTTATTCCATGTAGGCGGGCAAGAGTAAATCATCCTAAGATTCTTACAAATTATTTGGCGTGTGGGAATTGCAAGGAATTGTCATTATTTAAAATCAACAATAAGACATCATTTTAAAAAATGTACTGGTCAAACAGGCGAGAAAAGTTGCATTGTTAAAGTAATGAGTCGAAGGATATAGGGCAAATGTCTCAAAAAAGCTGATAAGAGAGTATGACGATTAGTATTACCAGCAATGAGAAATGATAAAGTAACGCGTAATATTCGTTATGAGCTGATAGCTATATTGATACAGCTTATTGATATTATATGCAAATTCTCAATGCAAAAATATAAGCATTCAACACATCATTTATAAATGATTCGGGCTCGATTGCGACTTATGAGTCGGCTATTGATAGTGATGAGAAATATTAATAATGGTATAATGTCTTTCATTTCTACTTATAATCCAAAATATTACGATATTTTTTTAGATGCCGTAAATATTATTGTACAATATAATGAAGAAAACGATATTTATGAAAAACCCGCTGCATCTAACCTTGATACTTACGTGAAGTATATTGACGAACTCTTAATAACAAAATGTATAAAAGAACATAATGACAATATAAAAATAAATTCGAAAAATTTTTTAAAACTCTTACCCGTTGATTACGGATCAAGTGTTAACAAAACTGTAGTTGAATCTCAAAGTCAATTTAGAAGACGAAAAGTTACAAAACTTCCTACAATGGATGATATTAAAAAATTGCGTAATCATCTATTAAAAATACAAAAAATATCGTACAATAGTTTGCAAAATAAATTTTCATTATCTGCATGGATTTCTCTTGGAGAAGCTTTGTCATCAATTATTTAACCGCCGCCAGCCAGGAGAAACTGAACGAATATTAATTTCTAATTTTGAAAATTACGAAAAAATCAGTAAAAATATTGAAACGTGGATTATCTAAAGATAAAAAAAAACAGGCTCAAAAACATATACGATTTCGTATTCGCGAAAAGTTAGGAAGAACTGTTCCTATAATATTAGATGAAATAAATTTGAAATGTTTGCACAAATATTTTTACAGTTAAGAACTAAAGCTAAAGTACATTTGACAAATCCTTATTTATTTGGTATTCTAGGACATGAGATTATTGAGGAGTTATTGAGAAGTTATTGAGAAGTATTTATGCGCATATCAAATCCTAATTTTGTCAAAAAGAGCGGAATCGAATTTCCTGAAACAATAAGTAATACTAAACTCAGGAAACATATAGCCACTATGGGAATTACACTTATTACAATTACAATTTAACGGATAATCAGATTACAGATTTGGCTAATTTTATGGGCTATCATGAAAGGATACACAAAGAAATGTACAGAAATCCGTTAATAATTAAAGATATCATAGAAGTCTCACAACTTTTAGAAGCTACACAAGGCGTAAGAGATGCAACGAATAATTTAATTGAGGAAACCGACAGTGAGGCTGAGCATGATAGCTCAGAAATAACAGAAAATAATGAAACGTTTCAAGAAATTAGTTATTCGCAGCAATCGAATGACAGTGAGTAGAAATTTTTTTTGTTTCCAAAATATAGATTGCTTTTTTTCTAACTTTAACATATTTTTAATGTAGGCTCGTTATTTTTCCCAGCATATAAAAAACGTACAACAATTGAAATGAAAGCAGTACGAAAAAAACGCAGATCAGGGAGTAAGGATTTGATTAGTGTATATTCAGTTAATGCTTTTAAGCAAAATTTAAGCAAATGCTTTTAAGCAAAATTTATCAATTACTTTACAAATTTTTAGTTGTAATAATTAAGTTATTTAATAATATGTAAGTTGGAAATAATTAATTAAAAATTTCTTAATTATAATAAATAATTAAAACTTTTTAATTATCTTGAAATAAATCTTAGACATTAATCAATTAAATTTATAATTAGTAAAATAAAATCAATTAAAATAAATAGTTGCATGTAATTCTGATTAATTCAGTTAATTGATTGAAATTAATTAACGACATCTGATTAAAAAATTAATTGTTAATTAATAATCATTAGTTTTAATCATTGTACTTTATAGTATTGATTAGTAACATTGATTATAATAAAAAAATAATTTATCGAGTATATCGATTTGTATATCTTTTCGATATGAACAAACATATTCTTTAAATTTATAATTGTTTGTAAAAATTATAAATATAATTTTTGAAATATGATTGAAAATTAATATTTAATGATTAATTATTATATTATTATATTTAAGAAATGTATATGTTACATCTCAAAACATTATTAAAAATATAAAAATTTCATAGATTGTTATTATTACGTTTTTGTATCTGTGTAAGATTGAGTATAATTTTTTATTGGTTTAAAAGTTATTTAATTTTTTATTTGTTCTTGATATTTATATAAAAATTGCGTTTTGTAGTACTTATTTGCAAATTTGATGAAGAAATAGCATTACAAATTGAATCAAATTTTTTACATATACTAATAGAATTCTATAATTTTCGTAAAAATTTAATTTGAATTCATTTATTCGTTTATTTATCTAAAACAACAACAAATATAGTTACAAAATATAGTGATGTATTTTATATAAATCATTAAGTCACATAATTTTATATAAACCATAAGTCACATTAATCTTTGTTTTGTTCTATGCCACTGATTTCAAAGTTTCAGAATTTGGGTATTGACGACTAAAATTTTGTATCATTGATTAGGAAAAGAAAAGAATAAACCTGCAATTTTTAAATTTCAATAACATGTAGCTAATATCGTATATTCAAAACATCCTTAATCAACGGCTTTTTATTTAATTCAATAATTTATTGAATCAATTATAATTATGCTTATCCTAAATTTTTAGTCGATTACTTTAGTTAAGCGAATACTTATCAGTTAATCATGCAAAATCATTTAATCACAATTAATGTCATTAATTACATTAATCATGATTACATTAATCATGATTAAGTATATATATATATATATATATATATATATATATATATATATATATATATGTATATATAAAATTTACTAAGTAACAAAGTTACGAACTGTATTAATTTTTTTCATATGCTGTAAAGGCATTTAATTATCGATTCAGATCAGAATCGATCACTAGCATATCAAAATACTAACAAAACACTAACAAAAAGCATTCTAAGCATAAAATAAGTTCATTCTGTACGCATAATTATATGTATCTCGACATTTCCGCCTTCCACAGCATAAGTCTTCCATGCACGTGTTACTATATAGCCGGTAAATTAAATATTAATTTACCGGCTTACATGACCTCATTTTTCAATGATATTCTATTCAATGACAATAGAGATGACACCAGTGCGAGAATTCTACTTCCTTGCGTGCGGCGTGGCCACACTCTCAACATTGTCCCAGCGATGCTATTTGCGACATAGCCGGAGATGACGCTTTACTATTGCGTTCGACTCGTGTAAAAAATATTACGTGTTCATAACTTGATCAGAGCTGATAAATCTTGCCACACTTATATGTTTTGTGATTTACAACGATCATTTCATCCAGAATTCTTTTAATTAACCGGAATTTACATTACGTATTTAAGAGAATATTCCCATGCGAAGAATAAAAGCGTTGTCGAAGCACCGCTCAGTACGGTATAATTTAAAGTAAATCTAACATCCGTGTTCTCAATAAAAACGACAACGTAGTGATTAACGCAAGTGTGATTAGAGGCTACAGTTTACGCGTAACTAACATGAAGGCACTAAAAAGCAGATTTTATGATAATAAGAATAGTTGTAGTAAAAGAAGCGATTCTATATCGCTACGTAAATCCAGATAGACAAGATTTTATTTTATTGATTGAGTGCTTTTCTTTTGAATATCTTGTTATCTATTCTATTCTTTAATTCGGATATTTTTGTTCTAAATGTTAATTGCTAATAAGTTGTTTCGACATAGTCATTTCGAAAGCATATCTATAATCTGTAATGATTATGTAGGAAGTAACATTATATAATATAAATCAATGACGGATGTTGAAAATAAACGGCAAAACATAACAACTTTAATTGCTCATGTTTTAAACATGTTTGAAAAGCTTTCTAAATCTATTAACGATTAAATATTTCTATTTACTTAAAATTGATTCTTATATGTGACAACTGTTCTAACTATACAACATATAATTAATAAATTAATTATATTTTACAATCAAGTTAAATAATTAAATTTACTTAATTATTTAAATAATTAAATAAGTAAATTAATAAATTAATTATATTACAATAATGTAAATATAATTTATAAATTTTATAAAAAGATGTATAATTATTTTTATTCGTACTGAATTTATGGTTAGTAATTATTTAATATAATAAATTATACATTAAATCTAAAGTTTACGATAAAATCTGCAATACGTCGTGGAGTGACACAGAATGGAAGAATTTGTAACGCGTACATTTCTATATGTTCATGGGAATATATGTTAGACGCATGGACGACATGCTGGACGACATGCTGATACTGATGAAAAAACGAGACGTATGTTTCCCCGTGATACAGCTTACCGTTTTCCGTTTCGGCGTAGCCGCGTACTACTTAGAAATTGTAATGGGTACGCGAACGACATAATCAAATCGCAAATCAGGGGTTTCGAGATTCTTACGGGTGGACAGACAAGGAAGTGATTAACATCGTAGCTGAAATACCTTCCTCTTGTTCCTTTTTTCGCCCTAGGACGCGACAGGAAAAGACTATTACGTGGAACGAGAGGAAAATTTCGTGCTAGATGGATTGAAATCGGGGGAGTGGGTGCTTTCTACTTTCGAATCTTCCGAAAAATTAGTAACGTGCCGGGTGGTGCCGCTGGCTACTAACACGTAATCTAATACTCCATAAGGTATTGCGAGAAAGACACGTTTCATGATTTATTAACCTTCCGGATTTGAATGAACCACGAAGAAAACAGATGTGACGTTTAACTCCTCAATGATGAATGAAATAAATCTTAAATTAATGTTTCTTACATCTCTTTCAGACATTTTAGCATATAATCAAACTAATTATGATATAAAATAATAATTTGTAAATTTGTAAATGTAATTTGATCGCGTATATGAAAGAGTTAAACGTAATAAATATTCGGT